GTTCTCAGTTCTGTTCCATTGATATATGTGCCTTTCGTTGTATCAGTGCTTAAGTTTAATACCTTTTTCCTTTTAAATAACAAACTAAAATACCTGTGACAGAGTTTAACCTCTGATATCACACTATAATCACACTCAAAGGATGAACAAACGTCAAACTTTATTTTATAAAAACAATAAATAGGCAAGCCTGTCACAAGAACCATTTCAGTCCAACATTTTGTTTAGTAGATAAGTATTTTAAGAAAATATACAAATAGTATCAATACTTTTTTCAAAGAGCTCTGTTAAAGAAAAGAAGCCAGAGAAGAGATTATATACTGTATGACTCCATTTATATGAAATTCTAAACAATCAAAACTAGTGATAAATAGCAGGTAATTGCTTAACAGGATCCAGGGATGGGAATCAGAGACTGCTAAGGGACACATGGAAATTTGTAGGAGTGACAGAAATATTCTCTATCATGGCTATGGTAGAAGATAGGCAACTGTATTCATTTCAAAAGTCACTGAATGCCACACTGAAAACTGGGGATATTTATCAGGTGAAAAATTATACCTTAATTAAAACTTTTCATAAAATTTTTCAGTCTAAACATTTTATTCAGCAAATATTTATTTTTAGAAAATCTGTAAATACTACAAATACTTTTTCATGATTATAACAAGTTTACTTTCTAATATTTCTATAAGATATGTTTCTCTTTTTTCACATGTAGGGCAATTGCTTGTAGGACAGCTACATAGTTGTCGCCCCTTGTGACAATGAACCCAAATTCCTGTTGGGTGTGATGTAAACAGAGGGACCATTCTTGAGGCACCCTGCTCTGAGCACACCCCATAAGATATATTTCTTAATTTTCTTCTAGAAAAAGCAAACAAAACTAAGAAGTGTTTGAACCAATTAAAAGTTCCTTAAAAGGCTGAAGCAAAACTCCATACAGTGATGTAATAGTTGGCAGGTTTTACGGTACTTTTTCCAGAAGGTCATAGCATACAAAACAAACCAAAACACTGATTCTAGTTGATTCTGACTCACAGCAAATGCAGGCCATACATGGTCAGGTGGACAACAAACATGGGTGGAACAGGGTTGGTGGTATTGCAGTAAGCTAGAGAGGGCAGACCCCTCTGAATGGACTTGCCACCACTAGGCCCAACAGACTGATTCTTTGACAGAGCACAGACTTCAGTAGCCATTGCTTCCGATGTTTCAAGGGAAGCAAAAATCTGGACTTCTGTGTTAAATGCCCTGAGTTTTTCTATCAATGGATCAATATCTTTTACAATATTACAAAGGCCCCCAAAAATATAGCCACAGGCAGGATTATGATCTTTGGTTCACAGGCATATTTCCTGAAGTTTTTTTAATTGCACATTCGTGCCACCTGTCTGTTGTTTATCACTTTATTTGTACAGAAACTCAAGTAAAATGGAATACAGGTCAACTGAAGCAAAACTCATCTCAAAATTACAAGAAAGCTAATAAATCCTTGTCATTTCACTAAAATACCAAGTTCTGCTAATATTTTTATAAGTTAGTCACAAAAGTTAATGAATGAGAATGAAGGGAGAAGGGACGAAAAACTGAAGAAAACTACCACTTTGGCCAAGATCATAGTCAGCTTCCAGATTCCAGAGTAACAAAATAATCCACATGCTGAAATTTCAGAACTTCATTGCCCCAGCTAGTCCAACCTGGCTGTAAATTTCGAGCAAACAATTCTAAACATTGCCCATCTGGCTTGATGTAGTCTTTTAGAACCTCTGTTCAAAAAAAATGCAAAAACACAAAGGTTATTAAGAAGAAATTAATCAGTTTCCTTTTAGCGGTTACAAGTAAAAAAAGGAAATGTTTCTTTAAAAAAAAAAAAAAGGACAGCAAATTAATTTCAATCATTTCATCAACAGGCTTCACTATTTATAGCTAGAAAGCATTTGAAATAAGTATCTTTGAGATTGGGAATAACAGCATCAGAACTTCAGTAGTCTTGATTTATTGGTTTTCATTAGTACATGAGAAATGAGGATTTTAACACCCACACAAGTGACTTTCAGTTTTCCAGTGCTGCTGACATGTCATCTCCTGAGTACTAACTACATTAATTTTCTAATAAATGTAATCCATGCATGAAAAAAACTTTTTTTTTTTTTTTAAAGAACCTTAGTAGGCTCCAATTCACAGCAACCCTGTATAGGGTTTCCAAGGAGTTGGAAACTGCTGGATTTGAACTGCCAACTTTGTGGCTAGCAGTCTAGTGCTTATCCTATGTGCCACATCAGAACTATGGGAACAATATAAAGACAATTTACTTAAAACTGAAGATGTAATATGGCTCCTTGCAAACATTCTTTAATGATAGAACCGTAAATACAGAATTGGAATCAGAAGAAATATTCAGAACAAATAACTAACAAATAATGGATTACATCTTAGATATAAATTGGCAATACCCAGAACACTTCTTCATAATCTTTCTTTACCTAATATTTCACCATATTATTTCCACACTTAAGGATTGCTTATTCAAAGTAGCATTAACTATTTAAGATTACATTTTGTTTGGGAAGATATATCAAAAAAAAAGATATATGAAGTATGAAGGGCTTCAAAAAGTTTGTTAAAAATGGGATTAAAACAGAATGAAATTTTTCCATGAATTTTTTGAAGGCCCCTCATATACACTGGCTCAACACTTGTGAATTACAATAAAAGAAGAAAAGAATACCTTAGGGGGAAAAGTGCTCATTTGGATGACAAATATTTAAATCAATTTAACCTTGCTCATGTTGGTGACTAATTATATCAATCACGTTATAAAAAAAGGGTATGAAAATAATATTCAGGGAAGAAGAGTTACAATAAAATACAATTCTTAATTTTTCACAAGACTGAACTTGAAAGATATCTAGCAAAGTTCTCTTAAGAACGAAAATGGTTCCTCAGGATGCTTTCCATAGGAGAGATTTACAAGACAGCATGTGGGACAGTTTATGTTATATATATATCATATATAATAATGTTCTTCAGTTACTCTCAAATCAAAATAATCACTTATTTGAAATTATGGGTCCTGTCTATCAGAAAAAAAAAAAGAATTAAAGGAATTTGTTGTCTATAATTCAACCACTCAAATATGGGGATTTTTGCGTGTTAGTTTTATTTTGATTTTTATTTAATTTTTGTTGTTGTGAATATACATAGCAAAACTGACACCAATTCAAATGTTTTACATTTACAATCCGTGACATTGATTACATTTTTCAAATTGTACAATCACTCTTACAGTCCTTTTCTAAGTTGTTCTTCCTCCATTAACATAAACTCACTGCCCGCTAAGGTTCATCTCTAATCTTTCCAGCTGTTATCAACTTGATCCCAGAAAGACAGTTCTTAAAAAAGCATAATGCCCAAGGCAGACATGTTTTTTTACTAGTATAGTTAAACTACTGTTTGGTTGTTAAGATTTCTGGAGATATTTTTTATTTAATGCTTAAAAATTATCTCAGGACAATAATTTCAGGGGTTCATCCAAGCCCCATGTCTCCAGAAAGGCTGGAATCCATAAGAATTTTCAATTCTGTTCTGTCTTGCTCCCCTTTTGTTCAGCCAATCTTTGATCAAATGTTCAGTAATGGTAGCCAGACATCTTTAGGACTCATGACAAACGAGGTAGTGTTCAGGGGGGCAATTAACCACATATTTTATTGTTGTTGTTTTTATATGCCATCCAGTTGGTTCCAACTTATCGCAATCCTGTATAGGGTTTCCAAGGAGCAGCTGGTGGATTTGACCTTGAGGTTCAAATCGACCTTGTGGTCCCATACTTATCCTACAGTGCAACATAAGACTCCCCCTATTCCTTCTTCCTCTATTGCTCCAGGCAGAGACCAAGTGTCATGCCTTTGATGGCCATTAACAAGCTGTTAAGAGCCCAAGTACTACACAATGAACTAGGACACAGAGCCAAAACATGAACCACATTACAAGGCCAATGAAGTGGAATGGCCCATGACACCATGACCCTAACCCTGTGAGCCAAGGAACCAGACCCTGTAAGGTTTGGGGTTTGTTTGTACATAAACAGTCTCAGTAGCTACTTTATTTTTATAACTGTTAACAAATAAATCATCATACAACTTTTAACAAATTCAATTTTTTATAAGTATATAACTTAACATCATCAATTATAACAAACATGGGTTTTGACTGATTCTGGAAGATGCTGGCACAAATACTTCTAGTCCTTTCATAAATATATCAACTGTCACTAAACTTGAGAGACATTTCCCCAGAGTCTTCAAGTACAATAATAACCCTGTATCACTTTTCCATTTTCTCTCTCATGTATTCAAGGCTTGACCAACCTCATTTCGCTTTTAACGTGATTAAAGCTATACTAAAGCAAGGTTTTACTGGTTTATTTTTTCTTACTAGCTCAATTTTTAGGTGCAAAGGCATTAGCAACCTATTTTAGAATTTAAACTACAGTCAGCCAGTCAGAACTGTTTACTATCCTGAGCACCCACTATAATCAGTGCTATGGAGACTTAACTAAGGAAGGAGGATATTCATGCTTTATGAGAGCTCACAATCTAATAGAAAAGAATGTCCAGGTACTTGAAGTGAAAAAACAACCTGTATGCATTCACTACCATCTATTTTCTCAATGTAGGACCCCTGGTATGGCATGATAGAATATACACTGGACCACAAGATCAGAGTTTAAATCCACCAGTTGCTTCTTGGAAACCCTATACATAAACATAAAGAGTTTCCAAGGTTTTAAGGAAAAAATCTTTGCAGAACAGAAAGCCTCACCTTTCTCCAATGGAGTGGCTAGAGGGTTCAAACCACAGACCTTGTGGCTTTCAGTCCAGTGCTTATTGTATGGAGCCAAAGTGCTCCCAGAAACTTATTAATCCTACTAAATTTAAATATCAATTGATAAAAATATCAATTAAATGCAAAGGTCTGAATTTAAATATGAGTTTGATGTATAAATATTTAGATAATTACATAGCATTTGGTATTGGTTGAAAACATGCTTTTAATGAGGATGAGGCAGTCCAGTTTAGCCAGTCTGGATGCATGAGGCAGGATAGGCAATCAGTGGCTTGAACATCAGTGTATGTAGCCTCATCAAACTGTTTCACTCTTCATAGAGAAGGGTTAGTAAACAAATGACTTAAAACAAGTGAAAATTCTTCTAAGACATAACATTTAAAACCAAAATACTGACTCAAAAGCTTTTTATTTTTTACAGTTTTCAAACTTTAGAAAATACACTAGTAATGTTATGTTGTGGTGTCCTGGTGTGGCATCATAGGATAAGCACTTGATCTCAAGTTTGGTTTGAACTGCAAGGTTGGCAGTTCAAACTCACCAGCCACTCCCTGCAAACCCTATATAGGGTGGCTATGAATCGGAACCGACTCGATGGCATTTCACAACATCGTTATGTTGTAAGCCACACTACTGATGGCTTATCCTTCAATCTATAAGAAAACCTTCTACTCTCAAAAATGGAGATCATTTTGAAATTCAATACTCTGCCAAGACAGTGTTGGGTTTGTTTGTTTTTTTACAAATTGCAGTAGAAAAAAACAACTTAAACCTTAAAAAATATTTGGTGCTTCTAGAAGTAAAAAACTAGAGAGAACATTTCATTTTAAGAATCTGCATAAACACATATAAAAGCTAAAAGCATCACATACAGAATATATACTATCCCAAAATCCAAGAATTGACATTTCAGAGTAAAATATACTGCAGAAATCTGAAAGCTGCTTTTCTAATGGATTTCATTTTCACTTCTCTATAAGGAGCTCTGGTAGCATAGTGGTTACGAATCGGGATGCGAACCTTAAGGTCAGCAGTTCGAAATTACCAGCTGTTCTGTGGGAGAAAGATGAAGCTTTCTGCTCCCATAAAGATTTACAGCCTCGGAAACCCTGTACAGGCTCACTATGAGTCAGAACTGACTCCACGGCACATAACAACAACAACAACATACTTAATCTAGGAGTCCTGGTGTGGTGCTGTAGGATTAGCACTGGACCACAAGGCTGTTTGAATTGCAAGGTACTGGCTGCTCCTTGGAAACCCTCTACAGGGTCGCTATGAGTTGGAACTGACTCAACAGCACTTAACAACAACAACAACAACATACTTAATCTAAGGAGCCCTAGTGTAGGATAAGCACTGAGCTGCTGATTGCAAGGTCAGTAGTTAGAACCCACCAGCCACTCCCAGGAGGAAAGATATATATACAGCTGTCTGATCCAGTAAGATTTACAGTCTCAGAAACCCTGCATAGGCCCACTATAGTTGGAATTGACTTGATGCTAACATTTTGGTTTTTGTTTTAAATCTAGAGAATAAATCATTATAGTCAAAACACAAAATAAATGCACTTACTATAGTAACATGAACTGAAAGATAAAATACTGCAAATATTTTTTATCTATTACTACTTAACCAAACCATAGGGTTACATATATTTATTAAGTCACCCAAATTTTCTCAAATCTAGTTTTTATTTGAAAATGTTCTCAGTTCCAAAAACGTGTTTCTGCTGCTCTCTACTGGAATTATGGCATGGCTGTATTTCACAGACTAATAAACACCTTGTTGTTAAGTGCAATCGAGTCAGTTCCATCTCATACCAACCCCATATAGGGTTTCCTAGGAACAGTTGGTGAGTTTTGAACCTCCAAACCTTGTGTTTCAAACCAACCTGTGGTTCAGTATTTATCCCACAGTACCACACCAGGACTCCAATAAACATCTTAGGATAAAACTAATTTTTAGATAACATTTTAAAATCTTATCTCTTATGAATTACCTTTAAATACAATTGTATTCTACTTTAAAGGAACTAAAAAATACTTTTAACTATCATTTCCAATTGAACATTTCAAGTTTCCGCTTTTGAATTTTTTAAAAGTAAGTTTTTATGTTGGCCAAATGATAAACCACCACTCATCTGTCAGCTTACCAAACTGTAATAACTTGTATATTGCTGGAAGGTAGGCCAACAGTATTTTAAATATGAGCAGGGTCACCCATGGTAGACAGATTTCAGAGGAGCTTCTAGACTAAGACAGACTAAAAAGAAGGAGAAGGCCTCAGACCACTTCAGAAAGATTAGCCATTGAAAGCTTTATCAATAGCAGATGAGCATTGTCTAATACTGCACCAGAAGATGAGTCCCTCAGGTTGGAAGGCATTTAAAAAACTACCTCCTCAACGTAGAGTTGGCATGAATGACATGGATGGAGCAAAACTTTCAGTATCTTCATTTGCTATCACGGCACAAATCAAAATGAGAAGAAACAACTGCAAACATCCAGTAATAGTCAGAACTTGGAAAGTATGAAGTATGAATCTAGGAAAATTAGAATTTGCTGAAAATAAAAGGGAACACAAAAAGATAGACACCTTAGGTATTAGTGAGCTGGCTATTTTCAATCAGACAATTGTATGGTTTATTATACCTGAACAACAGACTGAAGAAGAATGGCATAACATTCATCATCAAAAAGAGCATTTCAAGATCTCTCCTGAAGTACAATGCTATCTGTGATAATATCCATATGCCTCAAGGAAGGCCAGTAAATATCACTATTACTCAAGTTTACTTATCCAGCCAATAGGGATGAAAGTGAAGAATTCTACAAACTGCTTCCCACCACTCATCTGTCAGTGTGTCACACTGTGGTGGTTTGCATGGTGCTATAATGCTGGAAGCTAAGCCACCAGTTACTTTCAATACTGGCAGGGTACCCATGGTGGGCAGGTGTCAGCACAGCTCCTAAACAAAGACCAACTAGGTACAGGAGAGGTGGACTAATTCTGAATGTTTTCTAAATGGCCACTGAAAACCTTATGGATAGCATCAGAACATCATCAGATACAGAACAAGAAGATGAAAACACTATGAATAGCAGAACATCATCAGATACAGTGCCAAAAGATGAGTCCCTCAGGTTGGAACGCACTCAAAATGTGACTTGGAAAGAGCTGCCTCCTCAAAGTACAGTTTACCATAATGATATGAATGGAGCAATGTTTTGGGGTCCTTCATTTGCTAATGGGGCACAATTCAAAATGAGGAGAAACAGCTACAAACATCCAGTAATAACTGGAATATGGTGTATGAAGTATGAATCTTAGAGAATTGGAAGTCATCAAATATAAACTGGAACCCAAAACAAAAATGGCCGTATAACTGGCTACTGCAAGAATAAGCAAGCTGTTCTCTGGGAAGCCATCAAGGCAAACAATCAAGTTCCTTCAGGACAAACTCCCCTCTAAGACTGAAACTCAAAGGGAACACATCAGCAGGCATGTAAGCTTGCTGGCAACCACATTGGTCTACTGGTGAGTGGAAGACGGGAAAAGACAGCAATGAAGAAATGGGCTGAATTCAACCACAGTCCATTGACTCCCATTGGCCTGGAGATGAGAGAGAGAAGAGGACGGGCTGCTGGTCCAGTGTGTGGTGAGACCTGGGGACACCTGAGCCCATGGACAAGGACATAGCCACAGAGGGCTAGAGCTAATAGTGAAGCATCCAGCTGATATGAAGTACGGGGAGAGGCACAAGAACACTCAGACTTGCAGATAGTACCCATTTGACCTAGCCTCAATGGCTTGATAATCAGAACTCGACTAGAGGAAGATTAAAAAAAAAATTTTTTTTTATAAAGGACACAAGGGTAAACTGCTACAATTTGATAAACTTGACCTATACTCACAGAGGTAGTAACTCTAAATACCAACAGAGAGGGAAAGAGTCTCACATCAAGTATCCCCTCTGTACACAGGGTATAGAGAAACTGTCAACTTTGACATTGGCTACTTAAATGAGGAGTTGATAAGGGCATGAAGTGACTGGCTTACAAGGTTTCAAGAGGGAGTTTAATTTAATAGTATGTGGGTGAAGAAAGGGTCCCCACTGAATAGTTGTCATCTTGTCTAGCTAGGTCTGGTTAAAAGAGATGGGATAAGATTCTTATCATTCAATAGTGAGTAATTGTTATCATAACTAATTGCGACAGTCACAATTATAAAGGCAGACATTTTGTAACAAAAATGGGGGAGCAGTTAATCTTACAGTCCAGAAACAAAGGACTCTAGGACCATCAAGAGAGAAGAATACAAACAGAATGTGGGACCTTATCCAGAGAAGCAGCGACACCAAAAAGAGATGGGGACATGGAGAGGGGAAGTGGCTGAGGACTCTAGATAAATGGGAAGAGCAGGACTAAGAGATAGTGGCCAGGAGGCAGACGTGCGGAATGTGCCCTTTGGTGGTATAAATTATTATATATGCCTGAATGTTTTTTTTTTTTTTTTTTATAAAAAGAGCTTTAGTAAATAGAGAGAAATACTGTTAACTGATGGTACATGGAGGGGAATGTAATCATTGTGATGAAACATGTTGTATGATTTGTTGAATGTAAAACTGATGATCTGCCCTATAAACTTGCACTCAATCCACAATAAAACTTAAAGGAAAAAATAAATAAATACACTGTAACACATAGAGATTGGCATCCTATGCATTAATGAGCTGAAATGAACTGGTACTGTGCTCATGAGGAACCTGTACATAGATCAAGAGGCAGTTGCTAGAAGAGAACAAGGGGATACTGAATAGTTTAAAATCTGGAAAGGTTTGCACCAGCACCTCACAACAACAACAACTGCTTCAGTCTGAAATTGATCAAATATGCAATCAAGATGCACTGATAATTAATGAATATTGGAATGAAAAAGTTGGAAACAAAGAGGAAGGATCAGTATTTGGAAAATATGGTCTTGGTCAGAGAAACGATGCTTGAGACAGGACAGAATTCTGCAAGACATATTCACTGCAAATACCTTTTTTCAATAACATAAACAGTGACTATACTCATGAACCTCAGAAATTAAACTGGTTACATTGTTGGGACGAAACAATGGAGAAGCTCAGTATCATCAGTCAAAATAAGGTCAGGAGCATACTATCAATTGTTCATATGTAGGTTCAGACAAAAGCTATAGAAAATTAAAATAAGTCCACAAAGCCAAAATGTGACATATGAGTGTATCTCACATGAATAATCGATATCATTAGACATGAATGACTGAAGACCAAAGGTGCTCCGGGATAACATTAAGGACAATCACATGGGAAGAAACCAAAAGGTCATTAAAAAGACAAGAAAGAAACAAAATATCAGAATGATGTCAAAATAGACTCTGAAACTTGCTCTTAAACATTAGAGTAGCTAAAGTAACTGGAAGACGTGATGAACTAAGAGAGATGAGCAGATCATTTCAAAAGGCAGCTTGAGAAGACAAAGTCAAATATTGTACAGAAATGTACAAAAATCTGGCATTAAAAAACGAAAAGAGTGAACACGCTGAGTATATCTCAAACTGAAAGAAATGAAGAAAAATTTAAGCCTCGCCTTGAATTACTGTAGGATTCTATTGGCAAAATATTGAATGATGCAGGAAGCAACAAAAGAAGACAGAAGGAATGCATAGAGTCACTGTACCAAAAAGAACTGGTCAACGTACAACCATTTCAAGGTGTAACGTATGATCAAGAAGCAACAGTTCTGAAGGAAGAAGTCCAAGTGGCATTGAAGGCAATGGAGAAAAGCAATGCTCCAGGAACTGATGGAATAAAATTGAAATGTTTCAACAAACTGATGCAACACTGGAGGTGATCACTCATCTATGCCAAGAAATTTGGAAGACAGCTACTTGACCAACCAATTGGAAGAAATTCATATGTGTGTCCATTCCAAAGAAAGGTGACCCAGTGGAAAGCAGAAATCATCAAACAATAGAGTATCATATGCAAGTAAAATTTTGTTGAAAATAATGCACAAACAGTTGCAGCAGTATATCAACAGGGAACTGCCAGAAATTGAAGTCGGATTCAAAGAGGACTTGGAACGCTGACATCAGATATATAGTGGCTAGAAGTAGGGGATACCAGAAAGATGTTTGCTTGTGCTTTATTGACTATGCAAAGGCATTCGACTGTGAGGATCACAACAAACTATGGATAACAGTGCCAAGAATAGGAATTCTAGAACACTTCACTAAAACACTGTGGTAGTAAAACAAAATCCTTCGTTAAACTACAGTCCTTAGATGTCTCATCATCTATCCTCACTCTGTCCAGATAGTACAGGGAACCCAAAACATTGTGTAGCAGATAGTGAGGGTAACCTCAAAGCTATACAGTAGAAAAGGCTAAGGCAACATAAAACCAAACTATCCTCTATTTCATAAGTTCAGCTATGAAGTCTGCTATGAAATTTTAGAATATTAATTAAAACAACATTTCTAATTTAATATCCAAGAAATCTCTAGATGATTTAAATATTAAAGTCATTATTTTTTATTTTGACAAAAGTCAGACAATAATAACTCTACTTTATAGAAGAAACATACCAGCAAGGGGTGGCTTATGTGAGTGAAGAGTACAGGGCACACTGACAATTAATTTATGGTCTGGAATAGTGAGCCTTTTTTCATCAGCATTCCTAATTAAAACAGAAAAAGAATACAACTTACATTCTAAAGAATCTTCTTTACATAGAAGCAATAGTTGTTTTGATTTCTTCCCTTTTAAATAGTATTTGAATTTAAAATAAAGAATAGAAACAATGAAGAAAAGCAACAATTTAAGTACAATATTGAGACATTTCCTGCTCCACAATAATAATTATACACTGCTGTTGTTAAGCGCCATCAAGTCAATTTTGACTCATAGAGACCCTGTACAAGATTTCCAAAGAGCAGTTGGTTTGAAGCGCCGACCTTGTCGTTTGCAGTATAGTGCTTCTCCTACAGCACTATACCAGGAACCCAATTACATACTACACACACATAAAAGGATAACACAAAATCGCATTTATCATACTATTCACCCTTTTCTGTTCTGGGCAATTGCCAAATTTCCAAAAATTTAAGAAGATCAATGGTCACTATGTTAATGAATTTTAAGATCCTAAAATACTATTATACAAATATGTAAAAATCACCTCTCTTACCTTAGTTGTAAATCAGCATTTTCTCGAACTCTCCCCAGTATAAGACCTTCATAAGGCTTTTTGTGCAGAGAATCTAACGGAAACACAAACTCTCCTGAATTGGTGATCTGATATAAAAGAACAACCACAAAAAAAGCTGTAAATATACACAAAAGTGTTATTCTCCCCCCACTAAGTTTCTACTAAACAAACAATTACTGAAGCTCTAGGCTCCACAGAAATCCTACACAGGGTCACTATGAGACGGAACCAACTTGAAGGTACTTAATAATAACAAGGCTAGTGATATCCAATTAAAAAGTATAACAGGGTAATATAAGCCACAAATGTGCGACACATATATAATTTTAAAGAGTCTACTAACATCAATATTAAAAAGTTATTTCAAAAGTAACTAAATTAATTTCTGTTCTATTTTATTAAACCTAACATACTAAAAATATTATTTCTATATTTAGTCAATAAAAAAATTGAGATATGTTACATTCTTTTTTATATTAAGTCTTTAAATTTCAATGTAATATTGACATTTATAATACAGCTCAATTTGGACCATCCACATTTCAAATGCCAAAGAGTCATATATGGCTTATGGACATAATGTTTATATAGGATGAAATAATATTTCAAATATAACTTTAATATCATCTTGCACTCAATTTTTATTTTTCACTAAAATTTATCCCTGAAAACCATGCCAGCATTAATGTACTTATTTATTCATTCATATACCAGTTACTGATTGATGGGACTGTGAGTAATCAGATCATAACAAAGCACTGTCTTTAGTGTCATTAAATACTGGCAGAGCTCAAATTATTAAGGAAAGAAATGAAATCGTTGATGACCTACACAATACCAGAGCCAGAAAAAATCAATTCATAAATTCACAGAATACATAAAAATACAACTCTACTGTCTCTAAAATGAAGATACCAGCTATGTAAATATTAAGCATGTAATTAACAATAACTTGGCTTACCTTTTTTAAATTGAGGAGGGTTTTTGTGAAAATCATCTAAATAGATATCTTTAAACAGATACCCAATAAATTGTGAACTGATGCTTTGTTTTTCTGTATTTTTTGACATTCTTATAGCAAGATATTAAGATCAATCAACCAAGACTACAATTTCAAAATAAGCACTGTAGCATGAAAGGCATTGGAGATCTAAACTAAAATTTGTAGTATAAAAGGTCCTTCCTTCTAGTACCTTCCCATACTGGTATACTTTGTTATTCTCCCTCCCAGATTCCTCCCTGGAACACCAAAAAATAAAAATAAAAAGTCACAAGCTGGTGACCAAAATTGTATGTGTGTGTGTATGTGTGTAAGAGAAAACATAGCATAATATTTTCTATGTTTAATGATTGAAAAGTATTCCCCAAAAAGATAAGTAGAAGTCCTAATCTCTGTATCTATGACCATGACCATATTTGGATATAGTCTTTTCTTTGTAGATATTACTAGTTAAGTTTATGTGGTCACACCAAGTTGGGTGGATCCTAATCCTTTCTGACTGCTATCTTATAAGTCAGACAGCAGAAATGTCACCCACAGTGCAGATTCCATTTGAAGATGTATCTATAAACCAAGGAATGCCAAAGATTGCCAGGAGCAAACAAGCCATGAGAAAGGCACGAAACAGTATCTTAGAGCTTTCAGAAGGAATTAATACTACTGCTGATATCCTAATGTGGACTTCTAGCCTCCAGAGCCATGACAAAATAAAAGCCATCCATTTTTTGTTGTATTTGTTATAGTAGCTCTGTGAAACAAAGACAGTGATGTATTGGTACCCCAAAAGGTTTGTATATTGTTTTTCAAGCATCAGAGTTTTTTTAAAAAATTTCATCCTGAGTGATTTCCAAGGCCCAAAGGCCTACTACAAAAAAACGTGGAAGAAGCAGGCTAAAGCCTTGAGAATAAGAAAATAAAATGTTTAGCAGTAAAATAAAAGTTTTAATTACACCATGTTGCAGGGCTATGCAAACCTTTAAAAAAGAGATAATGCCTTTATGATATATCTCACTATTTGTTGTTGTTGTTAAGTGCCATCAAGTCAATTCCGACCCATAGTGACCCTGTATGGAATTTCCAAGGAGCAGCTGGTGATCTTGAACTGCTAACCATGTGGTTGAAAACAACTTTGCGATCCAGCACATTAACCCATAGGGCCACACCAGGACTCACACTATTCTGACAAGAAAATGAACTTCTGAACTTACTTTTACCCAGTGCCATTCAGCAACTATCTCCAGAGACCAAGACGGATAAAGTTCTTCTTTTACAAAACGCAGGTGCTTCTGTCTATTGGTCACCCAAGTAATCACAAGACAGTTTGGAGCAGCCATTTTAGGAACAGGTATTTGCTTTATCTGCATAGGTGATAAATAACTGTATCTAAAAATAAACAGAAAAAATATTTTTTAAAACTCACTGCAAAAAAGAAAATAAGCAACAAGAAGACCTATGTCACACTGATTCCACAAATACAAACTTCTTGTAACTATTTTTGTAGCTAAATATGAACCCACAGTAACAACTGATTCCACAAATACAAACTTCCCATAACTAATTTTATAGCTAAATATGGAGCCACAGTGACATCTGGTGGACACATGTTTATACACAGGTTAGAAGTGATTTCATTTTTCAGGTTTGTTGTTGATGTTGAGCACCTTCGAGTAAATTCCGACTCACAGCAACCCTGTATAGAGTTTCCAAACAGCGGTCGGTGTGTTTAAACTGTCAACCTTGAGGTTGGCAATCCAGAACTTATCCTACAGCACCGCATCAGGTCAGGCCATACATGTTTTATCACTTCTAAATACAATGACAGAGTCCTATTGTGCTATAGGATAAGCACTAGACTGCCAACCTAATATCAGCAGTTCAAACCCACCAGTAATTCCTTGGACGCCCTATACAAGGATACTATCAGTAGAAACTGACATGACAGCACTTAACAAATACATTGATGGTATTTGTTGTTGTTGTTGTTAAGTGCCGTCGAGTCGGTTCCGACTTATAGTGAACCTGTATAGGATTTCCAAGGAGTGGTTCAAACCAATCTGGCAGTCCAGCACACTAACCCACAGCACCACACCAGGACTGAGCTGGTTCCAACTTACAGCAACCTTGTATACTGTTTGCAAGGCTGTAAATCTTTATGAGAGCAGAAAGCCTCATCTTTCTCCCACAGAGTGATTGGTAGACTCAAACTGCTGACCGTGTGATTAGCAGTCTAATTCGTAATCCACTAAGGCTCCTTCTAACATACTACAATTTCAGTTATTTTATTAATAATCAAGATATACTTTTCACTCTCATTAAGTGCAGTGGAGTCGGTTCTGGCCCATAGCAACTTTGTATAGGGTTTCCAAGTAGCAGCTGGTGAGTTTAAACGGTCCAACTTGCAGTTCAAACTGACCTTGCATTTGAGTGCTTATTGCCACACTAGGACTTCCATTCAAAGTATACTATTGTTCGGATTCCATAAGCTGTAGAAACTCTCTCAAGAACTCAAATCAAAACCTGAACATAGGTAATGGTCACAAAAAATTGTGAATATATTTATATCACTAAATTGTACGCTTAAAAATTGTTAGAATAGCAAATTTTACTTTACCTTTTGATACATATCATACTATATTAGGAGTTCTGGTGTAGTGCTGCAGGATAATGCAATGGACTGCAATGTTGGTTTGAGCAATAAGGTCAACAGTTCAAACCCACCAGTTACTTCTCGGAAACCCTATACAGGGTTGTTATGAGTCGGAACTGACTCCATGACGTTTAATAACAACATAAAATTTATATAAAAAGAGTGTCAGAAATAAGCTCAGTGGCTACCTGGGGTAGGGGGACTGACTGTAAAAGGGCAGGAGAGAACTTTCTAGGGTAATAGAAACTTTCCATATTGATTAGGCTTGTTATTGTTGTCATAAGTACCATTGAGTCAGTTCCAACTCTTAGCCACCCTATGTAGGGTTTTCAAGGAGTGTCTGGTGGGTTTGAACTACCAACTTTGTGGTTAACAGTCCAGTGCTTAACCTAAAGTGCCATACTACGACTTCAAATATAGTGGTGGTAGTGGTGGTGGCAGTGTGCTATCAAGTCGGTTCCAACTCACTGCGGCCCTGTATGGGGTTTCCGAGACAGTCAATTTTTGTGGGAGTAGAAAACCTCATCTTTCTCCGAGATTAAGGTGGTAGACACTTGTTATAACCCATTAAACTGTACAGTAAAAATGTATGTTACTATATGTAAATTGATCCAACTCCTCAGCACTTAAAAACAATATATGTAAATTATACTACAAGGTTATTCTATAAAAGGTTATTTTATAAGAAAACAAAAATCTATAGATAACACCTAACAACAAGCAAGTGTTGTGAAGTTGGTCATGCTAAAACTAATTTATTTCAACAAACTTGTTCATATCCCTATAACCCTCAATTTCTGCCCTAAATCCTGCTTCCTCAGCCACTTATCATCTCACCTGTCTTTGTTGCTGTGGCTGCTGTTTCATGCCATTGAGTCAATTCCGACTCAGAGTGATCCTGTTCAGGGTTTCCAAGAAGCAGCTGGTGGATTTGAGCTGCCAACCTGTGGTTCACAGTCTCGTGCTAACCCTACAGCACCAAACCAGACCTCTACCTACTGTATTTTCAACTCCTAATCACTTATCTGTATATAGACTAAGAGGTAGTAGTTAGAACAGAAGGGGACAATTAATGTTTTAAAACCAGGGTTGTATCTTTTCACCATACTTATTCAATGTGTATGCTGAGCAAATAATCCCAGAAACTGGATTATATGAAGAAGATCATAACATCAGGATTGGTGGAAGACTTAACAATTTGCGATATGTAGATGATACAACCTTACTTGCTGAAAGCAAAGAGTACTTAAAACACTTACTACTGATGCACATCAAAGATCACAGCTGTCAGTATGCACCTCATCTTAGTGAAAAGAAAACAAAATTCTTCACAAGACCAATAAATAACATCATGATAAATGGAAAAAAGATTGGAGTTTTCAAAAACTTCATTTTGCTTGAATCTACAATTAATGTTCATAGAAGCAGCAGTCAAGAAATTAAATGATGGTTGTTGTTGTTAAGTGCCTTCGAGTCGATTCCAACTCACAGCAACCCTGTATAAGGTTTCCGAGGAACAACTATTGAATTTGAACTGCTGACACCTTGTGGTTTGCAGTTCAGTGCTGATCCTACATTGCCACACCTGGAGTCCAAATGTTGTATAATATAGCATTAGACAAATCTTCTGCAAAAGACCTACATGTTAAACAGCAAAGATGTCATTTGGAGGACTAAGATGCACCTGACACATGCCACTGTATTTCAATTGCCTCATATGCATGTGAAAGTTGGACAATGAAATAGAAGACCATAGAAGAATCTATGCATTTGAACTATGGTGTTTGAGAAGAATATTGAAAGGACCAAGGACAGAAGAACAAACAAATCTGTATAGCCAGAATGCTCCTTTGACACCAGGATGGCGGTACTTCATCTTTCATACTTTGGACATGTTATCAGAAGGATGAGTCCCTGGAAAAGGACATCAGAGAAAAAGAGGAAGACCCCAAGAGAGATGGACTGACACAGTGACAACAACAATGGGCTCAAACATAACAACTGTGAGGAAGGCACAGGACCTGGCAATGTTTCGTTCTGTTGCACAGAGGGTCACGAGTTGGAACCAATTCGAGGGCACCTAACAACAACAATCAGTTATCACTGTGGGCTGCTAACTGCAAAGTCAGCAGCTCAAACCCATAAGCTAGGGAGAAAGATGAGGCTGTCTGCTTCCATAAAAATCAGTGAAGGAACCCCTAAGGAGCAATTTTACTCTGTCCTATATGGTTCAACTTGATGGCAGTGGGTTTAGTTTGGGTTTGGAACCACTGGGCTCTCTGAAATCTTTACTCTTTCATTTTAAAAAAATTCTGTAGCCTTGCATCTCCTAGCCATTAATAATATGAAATCTGTCTTCTCTTCCTAGATCACTACTTGTTCTACGATACCCAATCAAATGAGTGTGGTCCTTTCTTCAATACTCCAAACACATAAAAGGTAGGAGAGAGGCAGTATTCTAACTCTTCTACGCTACTTTCAGGCTATAAATCATTCACTTTTCCATTAAAAAGAAAAACTCCCTTCTCTTTTAAGAATTAGGGCATCCAGTTATCCTAGCCTCTATCCTCCCATTTTATCTTCATTTTCCATATTCAATGTGGACTCAAAGAATCTCTGAGATCACGCTACCTTGCCTCACCTACATAAATTATGTCATTATACATCGGGTAATTTCAAAGCAATCCATATAATGTGCACGCCTCAACTTTCCTTTGTCTAAACAAACACAATTGCAACCAATTCATTTCAATAATTCATTCCAATTTCCAGAACCTGGACCTTGTCTTGCTCAGACTTGCCCCATCCCTAAAACCATAATCAATCTCTGGCTACAACCTCCTATCCCTCCATCTATTCTTTAATTTTATCAAAGCTACCAAAGCACCATCCCTTCACTTCACTGATTCTCAGTTTTTTACTGATCACAATTACTTCTCTTCCACAGAGGTTACTGGACGTGTATCATTTCATTACTTTCTCACAAGTACTTTCAGCTCCCAAATCCCCTTTATCTAACAGTGCCAATATTTAAGCAAATGTTCATTCCTAAATCAGTACCACCATTTAATTTGACTTTTTACTGAAAAACTCAAGTAGAGGCAAAGTAAATGCTCAAGAGTACTGGTATGTGCTGCAGGATAAGCTCTGAACTGTTAACTACAAAGGTGACAATTCAAGCAAACCAGCTGTTCTCCAGAAACCCTATACAGAGTTGCTATGAGTTGTTATCAACTCCACAGCACTTAACAGCAACAAGTATTTATCAAATCCATTAAAAAACTTTCAACACTACTAATCAATTTTTTTTTCACTCACCCTAGGTCTTCTATGGAGTGTGGTGGCTCCATAAGATAAGCCCTGAACTAGGAAACACAAGGTCAAAAGTTAGAGTCCTCGAGTTGCTCCAAGGGAGAACAAGGAGGCTTTCTGCTTCCACAATGATTTAAAGCCTTACATGCAAACCCTACACTGAGTTTGAGTCGGAACCAAGCTCCATGACACTTAACAACAAGAAAATCTACCACAAAATCTCACCACCTTTCAAATTCCTCAGCCAACACTCAAAGCATAGAAATTTAAGTCACACTTTCGTAAAAAATAAAAGACATGACACTCCTTCATCTATCTACCTTTGGCCTTCCTCTATTATACTCCTCCACTAACTTTACTTGCTTGAGATATCAAAGAGATTGTCTGATGATTTCCGCATTCTGTTGGGTCACCTCTCTTTGGA